TAAAAAAAAAATATCGAAAAAATATTGACACGTTGAACGTAAATCTTGATTAAAAAAAAAAAAGAATTGGTGCTTTCGAAGGACAACGTGATGGAGTAATGCAGTAATGACAAGTTAATGGCAAGTAATGACTGATGACAAGTAGGAAAAAAAAAAAAAAATAAAACTGGTTGATCATACCCATTTATTTAAAAAAATATCATATCACCGAACATTTCTAGAATAATAACATATCACAGTGACATAAACATTCTTTTGAATACTTACGCAATTAAATTAAACTAAATCAATTAAATCTAATTAACTCCCGTTTAAACACGAAAGTTCAATAGAATTCATATATATCAATATTTAATAACCTCTTATAATAATTGTAATAGTATTCAGCTTAATGATGTAAATTCGACATAATCTTTATTGTAATGTGATTATCGTGGACGCGACGGTTATTTATTTATCACATATCCTATTAGCAGAGGCAAACACGTTCGATATCTGGGGCCATATTCGCAGAATTCAACTATTTCATTGGTGGAGAAAAGGGTACTTAAATATTTAGGGATGTAGTAATTATCACTATTCAAAAATGGTTGGTACGGAAAAACCGATATTTATAACGAAGGTTGATCCTTTTAGATCTTTTGGGTAATTTGTAGTCAGTTTACACAACATATCTGTCTAAGGACACGTGTTCACAAATATACAATACTATAAATCGATACAATGCGAAAAAAAAGCTTAAAACGTAAATCTCACAAGCATATCTATTTGATTTTAGGTTCTAAACGAAAGAAAGCTGTGATGAGCAACCATAATAATCAAGGAGGCAGTAGGAATGGGTTAAATGGAAATTTCCAGCAAGCAGGCTCGAGGCAACAAGGTGAAAAGCCGAATCCAATTGAGGATGTAATGGACGCTTTTAAGAGCATTGCTCTCACAGCAGGCTCTGGAGCGATTCTTGCACCAAATTGGCAATCTACATCACTAGTTGATTCTGGTAAAGAACCTCGGAAAGGTCCAGGTAATAATAGAGATCAAGGTACAACAGATAGGAGTCACGGGTTGAACGAAGAAAGTAAGAACAAAGGCGTTGCCACCGAAAATGAAGGATGGGATAAAAATCGGGGCGATTCTTTTGATGCAGAACGGAATAATCAAGAAAAAGCGAATTACTGTAGTAATTTCGGTAACTCGTACATGGATCTTGGAGACGCAGGTGATCCAATTGCAGGTACTGATATTGGCTCCTCTTTCAATAGAGCGAATAGCACTCAACTAGAAACGCATCATTTAAATCATTCACAACAAAATACATGGGACAATACTTATGATTTTGAAGGGAGCCAAAATTTCGGATGCCAAACGTACGGTGATCGGCAATTCGAAGGAACGCGAACACCTCCTCCTCCTCAACAACAACGGCTAAGAGAACAAAATTCAAATTTCAAGCATGAACTGAATTCAGATTCCAGGCATGAACAAAATTCAGATTTCAAGCATGATCAAGGTTCACCAATGTCACAATCTTTACACGCTCAATCTCACACATCACAATCCCAAACTGAGTCTGATCATGACCATCAACCTGTAGTATTAAGCACAGATTCGATAACCCTGAAGATAAATGCCTGGCATTCTATTGCCGATCCGAATGCAGTAGAAAGAGATGATGGTATTGGCACCGGACAACTGCATCGCAGGGGAAGAAATTACAAACCTGTTGATGAGGCGACCGTATTAGCGATACAGCAAAAAGGGAAAAGTTCTGCCAAGAAACCTAAAAAACAGTTTGAAGACAACTCCACGTTCTCCTCTTCAAACACCAAGCCCATACAAAAAAGCTTAAGTAGAACAAAACCACTACCTAAACCTGGTCCTCATAAACTTCCTAATAATCCTTTTACCACCAACACATCCACATCACCTTCATCATCCACATCTCCTGCGTCATCTGCACCACACAAGCCATACTCTGTTAAACAGGAAGCACGAACTACTGTTAATCAGCAACAACAACAACGAGAGAAGACACCATCGCCATTACCTCCGCCGTTGCAGCAACAACCACAGTCGACACGGACACCTTCTCAAGCACCTGGTCAAGAAAGATGGAATTCTCCAAGTTTAGCTACCACTCCTTTCTGGGAAATAACTCAAAATAATATTTCACAATCTGCTGCTAAGTCAACACATTATCAACAGTCACAATCTTATCGTCATCCATCGCCTGCTCGCTCACCGCGACCGTCAAAATACTCACAGGATTTTTTACCATATATCCCACCAGAGTTCGATTCAACCCCGTATCGAAAGCAATCGTCTCCTTCACCTGCTCGTGGTTATTCACCCGTTCGTGGTCACTCACCTGCTCGTAGTCATTCAAATGATTACATAGATGAACCGCCCGAATACGAGCGAGAGAGTAATGATGATCAAGAAGATTATGAGCAAAATAGCGATGTCGATGACGAAAATAACGTATATTATGAAGAGGATGAAAGTTTCTCTGAAAAAGAAGGATATGAGTCGGCATCTGTATTATTCGATGATGAGCCTATTTCACGTCCTCTTCCACCTCCTCTTGTTCCAACTCCATTATCGCCAAAACGTCTTAATCTACATGATCGAGGTTATCATCTTCTCACTATAAATGTAGAACTTTCAGAGTCAGAGCCTCCTCAAGCCATTGTTGTTCACGTGAATGATGATCCTGCGGTTTTAGCCAAAGAATTCTGTGACAAGTGGAAAGTTACTAATGATGTTGTAGAACCTGCATTAATCCAATTAATTAGAGAAGAAAAGGAAAAACGTCTTGGATGATAATGAGATTGATTTGTTGAAAAATAAAATATAGTTTGGAATATTAGTTTAAATGTTAGGGTATGATGTAAACAAAGGTTGATTTGCTCTTGTTTTTCCTTGCTGTAGCTATGTTTCAACTAATAAATATCATAATTGTGTTATGTTACACTTATCACTGTATTATAGAGTTTTTGTAGCTTTACATGTACATTAAATTATTTAAAAAAATTTTGCAAGAGCATTCTCAAGCACACTGTAAAAAATTTAAAATGTCTTATCAGTGTAAATTCCGAATAAATGATACTCTTAATTATTTAAATTTTATTAATACGTGCTGCGAAGAGTGACAGAAGTATTTCGATACCTGCCTAGTATATATATGCTATGGTTTGTTTAGTTTAAGGATCGTTTATTTTCTGTTTTAATTAAGTTTAATACTAAGAGTATTTTTTAAACATATAGATATATTTATTTTTAAAATATTAAACCATAATAATAGAGGTAATTTTGTCCTTTTTTAAAGATTGCCTTTTTAACAAATTTATTAGTATAAAATCGAATGCAGGTTATATTTATACGTATGTGATATAATATGATTGTTTAATTCGTGATTCGCGTGCAGATTACTGTTGCTATGTATATTAAGATATTGTATTTCTTGCAGGCAAATCTTCTAGTAAAATATTTAATTTTAGATTTGTTTTATTAATTTTGTTAAATTTTTTTAAAAAACTTTAATATATTAAAGTTTAAAGTTTTTGTATTAAAATTTTTATTATAAAATTTTTTTTAAATTTTTTTAAATTTTTTTATTTATAAAAAAAATTTTTATTTTTAAAACAAGATTTAATTTTTATAAATAAATCACTAAAGATACAATAATAAAAGTTATTATTATTATTTTTTTTTAATTATTAAAGTAATCTCTTGGTTGATGACTTTTTATTAGATTTATAGATAAAGTTAGGTTGCTTATAAGCTAAAAATAGACAAGTTTGAAAAAATTTTTTAATAAAAAAATTATTTACAAATTCTTGATAAACTCTTTAAATATTAATTTTAGGAATTATTTATTTGTAGCCATAGCTACATGTCAATAATTCTGCAATAACTTAAAATTTTACTAGGGTAACCTCTGTTGTATAACTAAGTAAAAATGCTCCTCTCACAATTTTACTTTATTTTAACTCCAAACTCTAACTTTAACCTTACTCTAAACTTAGTTCTAACTCTAACTCTAATATTAATATGGCTGCAAATTTTTTCTA